ATTTGAAGATTACATATGATCTCAGGAGATGTGTATAGGTTCAAGTTGACAAAGGGTGGACTTGTGATGGTTAATACTAAGTTAATATCCAGGATCAATACTTTGTTATTGTGTGTCTGTGAGAGTGTTGCCAAAAGAGAGTAACAGTTGAGTCAGTGGAAAGGTAGGTCCACCCTTAACTGGTGGGCACAATCTAATCAGCTGCCAGTGAATATAAAGCAGGCAGAAAAACATGAAAAGGAGAGACGAGCTCAGCTTACATCTTTCTCCCATGCTGGAAGCTTCCTGTCCTTGAACATCGGACTTCAAGGTCTTTGTTTTGGGACTTGAACTGGCTCTCTTTGCTCCTAATTTTGTAGAAGAGCCTATTGTGGGAACTTGTGATTGCGTAAGTTAATACTTAATAAACTCCCCTATTAGTTCTGTCCCTCTAGAGAACCCTGACTAATATAATATCTGACAGAGAATTTAAAATAACTGTGATTAATGTGCTAAAGGTTCTAAGGGAAAGGCGAAAACCATACAAGATTATCATAAGTAATATCAGCAGAAAAACAAAAACTATGAGTCAAAAAGAAAAGCTAGAAATGGGCTGGGATGGTGGCTCATGACTGTAATCCTAGCACTTTAGGAGGCCAAGGCAGGAACATCACTTGAGCTCAGGACTTTGAGGCCAGCTTGGGCTACATAGCGAGACTCTGTCTCTTTGAAAAATAAAATAAAATAAAGGAAAAGCTAGAAATGAAAAACAGTAACAGATGTGAAGAATGCCTTCAATGGCTCATCAGACAACTTGACAAAGCAATGGAAAGAATGAGAGAACTTAATAATTTGTCAGTCAAAATGTCTTAGTCAATGGAAACTGAAAACACAAAGAGAAAAATAATAGGGACAAAAAGAACAAACCAAGAGTTGTCAGACAACCTCAAACAATGTAACATATCTATAATTGAAATCCCTGAAGAGGAAAGCATGAGAAGAAACATTTGAAGAAATAACAATCAACGACCGACCGCTGTGGTGGCTCACACCTGTAATCCCAGCACTTTGGGAGGCCAAGGTGGGCAGATCATGAGGTCGGGAGTTTGAGGCCAGCCTGACCAACATGGAGAAATCTCATCTCCACTAAAAATATAAAATTAGACAGGTGTGGTGGTACATGCCTGTAATCCCAGCTACTTGGGAGGCTAAGGCAGGAGAATGGCTTGAACCTGGGAGGGAGAGGTTGTGGTGAACCTCTGCCTCTTACTGCACTATCTATAGTCTAGGCAAGAAAGAGTGAAACTCCGTCTCAAAAAGAAAAAAAGTAACAACCATGGATTTTCCAAAATTTGTGGCATACACAAATCCATAAATCAAATAAACCCAGAGGAGAAAAAAAAAACCCAGATCTAGGTATACCATATTCAACCTGCTACAAATAAAGAGAAAAGCTTGAAGACAACCAGAGGAAACAATACATCACATGTTGAAGAACAAAAATAAGAATTACAACAGAGTCCTGGCTGGCATGGTTTCTGACAAGAAGATAGTAGAGTGATTTAAAGTGTTAAAAGAAAAAAACCGTCAAGACAGAATTCAGTATCTTGCAAATATATCTTTTAAAACTGAAGAAATAAACATTTTCTCAAACAAAAACTAACAGAATCCACTGCCAGTATACCAGCATTACAGAAAATGTTAAAAGAAGTTCTTTAAGCAGAAAAAATAAGACACTGGACAGAAACATGGATCTACACAAAGAAAGAGTGCTGAAACAGAATATCCTGAAGGAAAATCAAATTTCATTAAAATTCTTACATTTCTATGAAAGGTAACTTTGATGCAAAATTAGTAGCATATATTATATGTCTGGATAATATGTAAAATGTGTGACAACTTCACAAAAGATGTAGAAAGATCTGAAAATACACTGTTGTAAGAGCCTTGGATTACACATGAAGTGTGTAATTATTTATTCATTATTCATAATTTATTATTTGAAGGTAAGCTCTATTATAAAACCTAGAACAACCACTAAAAAAACTCTTGATAGGTATATAAATAAGTGAAGATACATGCTGAAGATAAAAATTGAATCATAATATCTAATAAATCCAAGAGAAGGTAGAAAAAAAGAAAGAACAAATGGAATAAACAAAAATAGCTAGCAAGGTGACAGATTATCAATCCAAATAAAATCACAAAACTGAGATCAAACATGACAGCAAAAGAAACTATGAGACTAAATGGTTTTTATAGTTTTGTTTCTTTTTTCTTTGAGAGGGAGTCTCACTCTGTCACCCAGGCTGGAGTGCAATGGCATGATTTTGGCTCACTGCTCCAATCTCCACCTTCTGGGTTCCAGCAATTCTCCTGCCTCAGCCTCCCAAGTAGCTGGGACTTACAGGCACGCGCCACCACACCTGGCCAATTTTTTTGTATTTTCAGTAGAGACAGGGTTTTACCATGTTGGCCAGGCTGGTCTCAAACTCTTGACCTCAGCTGATCTACCTGCCTTGGCCTCCAAAAATGCTGGGATTACAGTCATGAGCCACTGTACCCAGCTGGTTTTTACAGTTTTACTGAAATACAGTTCATATATTATAAAATTGACCTCCCCCAAGTATACATATATTCAGTGGTTTTTAGCCTATTCAGAGTTGAATAATAATCTGTCAGACTGAATTTTAAAAAGTACCCATCTATATAATGTTTACCAGAGATGTAAACACACAGATAAATTGAAATTCAAAGATGGGAAAAAATATAGTAAAACGTATCTTAAGAAATCTAAATCCAAAATATTAAAAACCTGAATCCAGCAATGGGAATGTGTTGTATCTGTCTATGTGATCTCCATCACAAATATGTTTTTAGTATTTTGACAACTGTACCTCAGTAGAAGTGGCTTGCTTTGCAGTCCTTTGTATTTGGTTTTATGCATTAAAAAATATTATTTTAAGATGAGTTCCATAGGTTCCAGACTGCCAAAACTGTTGATGGCACACACAAACACAAAAACAGTAAGAACCTTTATACTTAAGAAACTCTTGAAGATATAAACAAGGAAACATAAACAAGAATGTTCAGAGTAGCACTGTTGGCAACAACAAAAAGGAGAGTGAATCAATTAATTGAGGTACAGTTGTTGACAGACTTTTCTAAGTCCCTAAAATAACAGAACTGGAGTTACATGGACAAATTTTTTAATCTAAATGGTAGATACATGGGTGTTTGGTATAATGCTCTTTAGATTACTATATACCACCACCATTACACCACACCATTTTTATTTTTATTTTTTCATTTATCAATGTGAAAACTGCCTGGATCATCATCATGATGAGAAATAAAACAAAGGATGATGGAAATAGAAACACAGGGAGTGTGTTTTATTTCTGCCTGTGTTTCAGCTTCTCTAAGTCGAATAGTCATCAGTTCAACTTTTAACTCATTCATAGCATTTTTCTTCGGTGGGTCTTTCCATCTCCCAGTAGTACAAGCTAAGTGGCGCTAAAGCAGAAAAAAAATTATATTGCAGCAAATACCCATCACGAGTCCAAATACTGACATTTAGGAACCACTGCCTTAAACCATCCCGCTTCCAGCAAAATCCATCTAAAATCACACTTACTAGTCAGGGACAGCATTAGTCAGGCACAATACAAATTCCTTAGGAAATCTTTCTCCAAACCACTTAGTTGAAATTAATTTTCTCCTCCTAATCTCCATAGCAATTTCTACCTCTCTACTTACCAAATTTCTGAATTATATTAAATATAGTCTGTGCACATCTGCTTTCTCAAGTGTAAGTCCTTTAATGGCTGGGACAGTGCTTTGTGTTTCACAAGTTCTCAAAACCATGTCTGCTGGATTTGATTTATTCACCTCTACCCATTGTGAAGTAAATCCTCAACACTGGCTTAAAAGCGGTATTTGCATCTTTAGTATCTATACTAAAATATCTGGTTACAAAAATAAAACTTCCCATTGTAAAACTTAGATTTCCACCATTCATAATCTCAATAGTACCTCTTCCTATTTTAATTATACTATAAAATAATATGTGGAAGTATTTTATATAGAATAATACAAGAAAAATCTAAGAAAATAACTTTGAACAATGCAAACCAAGATATGCTTATTCTGAAGAAATTACATATTCATGTTATGTTTGAGGTTATGACCATTTTGCACATTGGAATACAGAATGATATATGAGTTAAGTATGCCCCCTACTGACTAAATAAATATTTTAAAAGCCAAATAACAATATTCACAGAGTATAAAGATTATGGTCCAAACAACTCTACCACATGAAAACCAAATGTGTCTTTGCCATGCAAATGGGTTCCATAAAAAAGACTTTTGCAGATCTTAAGTACATTTAAGATAGAATTTATTGGAGGGAAGAGAGACCTGAGAAGAAAGAGGGGCAATTTTAGAATTCACTGCCCAGGATCACCACATTAAACAACTTTACGAAGCATCATTCACATCATAGTATACATCTGTGGTTTCCAACTGGGGCAATTTTGTCCCCAGGGGACATTTGACAATGTGTGCAGAAACATTTTTGGTCATCACAACCTGGGGTGGGAGAGACGTGAGTGGCATCTAGTGGGTACAGGCCAGGGATGTGCTAAGCATCTATAATGCACAGGCCAGCTCCATAAAACCAAATATCTTCTAGCCAAAAATGTCCAAAGTATTGAGGCTGAGAAATTTTGCTCTACATAGTGTTTCTTCTCAAGTCATGCAGCAGGGCAATGCTATGAGTTTTACTCAATAAAGTCAAATAAAATTTGACTTGCTTGAACTTTGAATGGGTTAAAGAAGGATTAAATCTCAGAAATCAAAGATAACAATTTTTTGCCCTCTACATTTGGCCTAGAAAATTGCAGTCTATACAGTTTCATATCGTCACTGTTCACCTCTATTCTAGAGATGATACAATCTGTGCATAAACCCTCAATCAGCTAATGATACTTTTAAGATACTGGGCCTTCCCATCATACCTGTGTTTCCATTTCCATCATCCTTTGTTTTATTTCTCTTATTTCTGCCTGTGTTTCAGCTTCTCTAAGTCGAATGGTCATCAGTTCATCTTGCAACTCATTCATAGCATTTTTCTTAGGTGGGTCTTTCCATCTCCCAGTAGTACGAGCTAAGTGGCGCTAAAGCAGAAAAAAAATTATATTGCAGCAAATACTCTCAGTATCAAAATAAGAGCTAATATTACTGAGCACTTATTTCAGGGTGTGCTACATAAAGCACTTTCTACACATTATTTTATTTAATCCCTAAAAAATCCTATTAATCAGGCACTGTTACCATCACTTTACAAGTAAGAAAATGAACATTGTGATTAAGTAACTTCAGGAGGATCACACAGCCAGTAAGTGGCAGATCTGGGATAGAAAGTCAAATGTAGTTCAAATTTTTTTCTCTATATACTTCAGATTAATTCTTGAAAAGAATACAATTTTCTTTATAATTTTTTTCTTTTGAACCACACTTGTCTGAGACACTATAATTTTTTTAATGAGATTTTTCATATTATCTTCAATGAAATCCCAATAAATCAGAAAAAAAAAATGGGGCCATTAAAGAAGGGATGTAAGAAGTTAACAGCAGTGTTTCTCAAGGTGTCTGTGGTATAGGACAAGTTTTGTCTTTTTTGTTCTAAAATTTCAAGTTAATTGCAACCTTTTCAAAACACTGTTAAAAAAAAAAAAAAAAGGCATGAAAATTTCAAGGCCTAATTTTGGTCCTTGTATAGAACATGTATTTTGTTCCTTGTTAACATTTCCCTCTTACATGAATAAATGTGTGGGCATATACCAGAAAAATGTGATTTATTTGGTAAGATAACTAAATAAGTTACTAATTTATAGATAAAATTTATAATGTTGTCATCCTTCTAGTGTTTCAAACTAACCAACAACGGACTTAACATCAACGTAAGACAAAATATGTACTACGTAGAAGAAATACTTTTACAGATTTTCAGAAAAAGTTATACAAGGCACAATGGTACAACAACAAAAATATGACTTGATTTCTACTGTATCTTTTATTTTACCGTAAGAGGGAGAAACAGCTTATATGCACTGTCAGTTTATAAATACTCTCAATTTTGACTTTAAACAGGGTCAGTGAGAGACACTTTAAACTCATCTCCCACTGTAGGTCATCAGCTACTTCGAACTCGTACAAATTTGATATTCGGGTTTTACTATATTTTAGAAAAGCACATAAAATATATTAATATACCTGCCAGTGTTCCTCTAAATCTTTGACTTGCTGTCTAAGTTCTTTCAAACCCATAATGGCTTCTGCTTCTCTCAGTTTCACAGCAATTAGCTCTTCCTGAAGCCTTGCAATATTATTCTCATCAGGAAGGGAGTTATTTCTCTACAGAAGAAGAAAATTTAATTTGAAATTTTTAAATTTAAGGAAAACATAGCACATAAAAGAGATATTTTGTTCCACACTTAAACATATTTAATTTTATACAGCTGTATTGAAGTATAATTCACAAACTATGAAACTCACTCTTTTAAAATATACAAGCCAGCGGTTTTTAGAGTCTTTACAGGGTTGTTAAAGGTCTAATTTCAGAATATTTTTATCACGCAAAAAAGAAAACCTATACTTATCACCAGTCATTCTACATTCCCCATTTCCCCAGCCCCTGGCAACCACCAATCTACTTCTTGTTTCCACGAATTTGCCTATTGGGACATTTCTTGTAAGCAAATCATATATATTTATAGATTTTTGTGACAACCTTACTTTACTTAGAACAATGTTTTCAAGGTTCAATCTTTTTTTTAAGCCAAACAATATTCCACTGTATAGATATACCACATTTAATCTATTTATTCATCAGTTAATAGGGGTTGTTTCCACTTTTTGACTATTATAAACAATGCTGCTATGAATATTGGTGAAAAAGTTTTTGTGTACACTTATGTTTTCAATATTCTTATGTACATACTTAGGAACAGAACTGCTGGCTCAGATGGTAATTATTCTGTGTTTAACTTTTAAGAAACTGCCAAACTTTTCCAAAGCAGCTATACTGCTTTTCATTTCCACTAGCAATGTATGAGGGGAAATGTACTTAATTTTGAGGACACAGAAATCTGACTCTGATTAGTTAATAAAATACTAATCAGAGTTATGGAGCAACAGGATTAAAAATTTCTTCAATATGGCAATAAACTTACTAACCTCTGATTAGACTCCAGATAAAGCATGAATATCATTTACTTTTAAAATATTTCTAGAAAATAATAGTCCAAAATCTGTTTCTGTTGAATTTCCTCAGCATGTTATCTTTGAGAGCAGTATCAAATCTCTGTGTATTAGTCACTATTTACATCAAGTCAAGAAATACAAATTAAACAATTTAACAATTGATTCAAATTAAACAACTGAAATTAATTTGATTCATGAATACAAGATTTATTTAATTTTTCCATAAGTTATTGGAGAACAACAGGTGGTATTTGGTTACATGAGTTAAGTTCTTTAGCAGTGGGTGATTTGTGAGATTTTAGTGCCCAAGCAGTATACACTGCATTCTATTTGTAGTCTTTTATCCCTCACTCCCCTCCCACTCTTCCCCCTAAGTCCCCAAAGTCCAGTGAATTATTCTTATGCTTTTGTGTCCTCATAGCTTAGCTCCCACTATCAGTACCATGTTTGGTTTTCGATTCCTGAGTTACTTCACTTAGAATAATAGTCTCCAATCTCATCCAGGACACTGCAAACGCTGTTAGTTTATTCCTTTTCATGGCTGAGTAGTATTCCATTGTGTGTGTGTGTGTGTGTGTGTGTGTGTGTGTGTGTACACACACACCACAGTTTCTTTATCCACTTGTGAACTGATGGGTATCTGGGTTGGTTCCATGATCTTGCAATTGCTAACTGTGCTGCTATAAACATGTATGTACAAGTATCTTTTTCAAATAATGACTTTTTTCCCTCTGGGTAGATACCGAGTAGCGGGACTGCTCGATCAAATGGGACTTCTACTTTTAGTTCTTTAAAGAATCTCCATACTGTTTTCCATAGTGGCAGTGGCAGTACTAGTTTACACTCCCACCAGTAGTGTAAAGTGTTCCCTGATCACTGCATCCACACTAACATCTACTGTTTTTTGATTTTTTTATTATGGCCAATCTTGCAGAAATACAGTGGTATTGCATTGTGGTTTTGATTTGCACTTCCCTGATCATTAGCGATGTTGAGCATTTTTTCATATGTTTGTTGGCCATTTGTATATCTTCTTTTGAGAACTGTCTTTTCATGTCCTCAGCCCACTTTTTGATTGGTACTGTTTTTTTCTTACTGATTTGAGTTCATTGTAGATTCTAGATATTAGTCCTTTGTCAGATGTACAGATTATGAAGATTTTCTCCCAGTCTGTATGTTGTCTGTTTACTCTGCTGACTGTTCCTTTTGCCATGCAAAAGCTCTTTAATTAGGTCCCAGCTATTTATCTTTGTTTTAATTGCATTTGCTTTCGGGTTCTTGGTCATGAAATCCTTGCCTAAGCCAAAGTCTAGAGGAGTTTTTCCAATGTTATCTTCTAGAATTTTTATAGTTTCAGGTCTTAGCTTTAAGTCCTTAATCGATCTTGAGTTGATTTTTGTATAAGGTATGAGGATCCAGTTTCCTTCTCCTACATGGGGCTAGGCAACTATCCCAGCACATGGATAAAAGATTTTAGATTAACTTCCCACCATATTAAAAGATAAAAAGGACATAGGGTAACCCATTATCAAACTGCTCTGGAGAATTACCAAGAGATCCACAACTAGGCCCTAGGGAAAACTCCCTAAACTGAGGTAACTGGTAACCTTGAGATTTCAAGGCCTGATTCTATGAAATTTTCTTTTCATACACACACACACACACATTATTGCATTTTAGGTTCTGGGGTACATGTGCAGAACATGCAGAATTATTGCATAGGTACCTACACGGCAATGTGGTTTGCTGCCTCCATCCCCCCATCACCTCTATCAGGAATTTCTCCCCATGTTATCCCTCCCAAACCTCCCTAAACCGCCTTGTCCCTCCCCTATTCCCCCGCAACAGACCCCAGTGTGTGATGCCCTCCTCCCTGTGTCCATGTGTTCTCACTGTTCAACATCTGCCTTTGAGTGAGAACATGTGGTGTTTGATTTTTTGTTCTTGTGTCAGTTTGCTGAGAATGAGGGTTTCCAGATTGATCCATGTCCCTACAAAGGACATAAACTCATCGTTTTTCATGGCTGCCTAGTATTCCATGGTATATATGTGACACATTTTCCCTGTCCAGTCTATCATCAATGGGCATTTGGGTTGGTTCCAGGTCTTCGCTATTGTAAACAGTGTCACAATGAACATATGTGTACATGTGTCTTTATAATAGAATGATTTATAATCCTTTGGATATATACCCAGTAATGGGATTGCTGGGTCAAATGGAATTTCTATTTCTAGGTCCTTGAGGAATCGCCACATTGTCTTCCACAACAGTTGAACTAATTTACACTCCCACCAACAGTGTAAAAGTGTTCCTATTTCTCCACATCTTCTCCAGCATCTGTTGTCTCCAGATTTTTTAATGATTGCCATTCTAACTGGTGTGAGATGGTATCTCAATGTGGTTTTGATTTGCATTTCTCTAATGCCCAGTGGTGATGTGCATTTTTTCATGTTTTTTGGCCTCATAAATGTCTCCTTTTAAGAGTGTCTGTTCATATCCTTCGTTCACTTTTGAATGGGTTTGTTTTTTTCTTGTAAATCTGTTTTAGCTCTTTGTAGATTCTGGATATTATCCCTTTGTCAGATGGGTAGATTGCAAAAATTTTTTCCCATTCTGTTGGTTGCCAGTTCACTCTAATGATTGTTTCTTTTGCTCTACAGAAGCTCTGGAGTTTAATTAGATCCCATTTGTCTATTTTGGCTTTTGTTGCCAATACTTTTGGTGTTTTAGTCATGAAGTCCTTGCCTATGCCTACGTCCTGAAAAGTTTTGCCTAAGTTTTCTTCTAGCGTTTTTATGGTGTTAGGTCTTATGTTTAAGTGCTTAATCCATCTGGAATTAATTTTAGTGTAAGCTGTCAGGAAGGGGTCCTGTTTCTGCTTTTTGCACAAGGCTAGCCAGTTTTCCTAACACCATTTATTAAACAGTGAATCTTTTCCCCATTGCTTGTTTTTGTCAGGTTTGTCAAAGATCAGATCGTTGTAGATGTGTGGCATTCCCTCTGAGACCTCTGTTCTGGTCCATTGGTCTATATCTGTTTGGGTACCAGTACGTTCCTGTTTTGATTACTGCAGCCTTGTGGTAGAGTTTGAAGTCATGTAGCGTGATGCCTGTAGCTTTGTTCTTTTTGTTTAGAATTGTCTTGGCTATGCAGGCTCTCTTTTGGTTCCATATGAAGGTGGTTTTTTCCAGTTCTGTTAAGAGGGTCACAGGTAGCTTGACGAGCATAGCACTGAATCTATAAATTACTTTGGCCAGTATGGCCATTTTCACAATACTGATTCTTCCTAACCATGAGCATGGAATGTTTTCCCATTTGTTTGTGTCCTCTCATTTCTTTGAGCAGTGGTTTGTAGTTCTCCTTGAAGAGGTCCTTTACATTCTTTGTTAATTGTATTCCTAGGTATTTTATTCTCTTTGTAGCAATTGTGAATGGCAGTTCGTTCTTGATTTGGCTCCCTTTATGTCTGTTATTGGTGTATAGGAATGCTTGTGATTTCTGCACATTGATTTTGTATCCTGAGACTTTGCTGAAGTTGCTTATCAGTTTAAGGAGATTTTGGGCTGAGACGATGGGGTCTTCTAAATATACAATCATGTTGTCTGCAAATAAGAGACAATATGACTTCCTCCTTTCCTAACTGAATACGCTTTATTTCTTTTTCTTGCCTGATTGCTCTGGCTAGAACTTCCAATACTATATTGAATAGGAGTGGTGAGAGACGGCATCCTTGTCTAATGCCAGATTTCAAAGAGAATGCTTTCAGTTTTTGCCCATTCAGTAAGATATTGATTGCGGGTGTGTCATACATAGCTTTTATTATTTTGAGACATGTTCCATCGATACCTAGTTTATTGAAAGTTTTTAGCATAAAGGGCTGTTGAATTTTGTCGAAGGCCTTCTCTGCATCTACTAATTATGTGGTTTTTGTCTTTGGTTCTGTTTGTGTGGTTGATTATGTTTATAGACTTGTTTATGTTGAACCAGCCTTGCATTGGCAGGATGAAGCCTACTGGATCGTGACGGATAAGCTTTTTGATGTGCTGTTGCAATTGGTTTGCTAGAATTTTATTGAGGATTTTTACATCTATGTTCATCATGGATATTGGCCTGAAGTTTTCTTTTTTTGTTGAGTCTCTGCCAGGTTTTGGTATCAGGATGATGATGGCCTCATAAAATGATTTGGGAAGGATTCCCTTTTTTTTTGGAAATTTTCTGTCTCTAATATTTCATGGTGCACATGTAGCTTTCTGCTCACAGGGATGATGAAATGGAGTTATTCTTGCTAATTATACATTCTTATGATGGACTTTAAATATTTTTTCAGTTGAAAACTAAAAATGTACTGCATATGCATTTAAAAGATTGCTGGAAGCAGAAGAAAAAAGGATGCTGCAAGAAGATATTACCATAGGAAGCATGCTTCCTTTCTCTACTTTATAATGTGAAAACACAGCCACCGAAGAAATCCATTTTTGAATGGAACCCAAATACGTGTCTACCCAATATTCAAAATCTTTCTAACTGTAAGACACAAATTCTTATCTAAATCATGTAACCCAGAATACACCTAAGTTAAGGACCAAATATTCTGTTAGGCATTCCTTTCAGCATTCTTGCTGGTTTTTTTTTTTTTTTTTTCCCCCCCAACAAATCAAGAGAATACATTTTCCAGAAATATAAAAATAGCAAGCCATTTTCTAGCAAAATTATTCCACTACTGATTCTAGTTATACTTGTTCTAGTTCATTAAGAAAATAGTTAAAAACACCTGAGACTGTTATGTCCATTATCTATTAGCTTTTTGGATTCAATACCTAGCTATTACCTAAGTGTAAAAAGGAACAAACAACACAGACACCAGGCCACCAATAATTTGATAGATGAGAAACAAGGGATTCAGAGTTTGTGATCTAGAACTTTTAAATCTGAAAGTTATAAGAAACCTGAAGTTCTTTTACTCCTATTACTTAGCTAATTTTTGATGTTCTTTAATATCCTTGAAGTAAGTTAGCTTCTCTAAGTACACCACAGGCTGAAAGGAAATTCCTACATATCCTGAGGTAACTTGTTCTGGATTGGACAGTTCTAACAACTACATTCAAATGAAATTCTCCCTAAAATGTCTATGTATTAGTACTATTCTGTCTCTTCCACATGAAAATACTACAATATTTGAAGATAAGAGTTAATTTCTGTCACCCGAATTTCTTTTCTGCAACATTTAGATATTCTTTTTATGAAAATTATTCTGGTTGCTTTCCTCCAAAAGGGCACTAATCTCCATTTTTATCCTTAAATCTGGGGCTTTGATAAGTATGAAGGCAACAAGGAATAACTGACAATTTTAAAAATCTTTTCTTCCTTTTCTCTCTTAGTAACTAATATGTAAGGCTTCTAATGTGTAAAAATACCAAGTCAATTAAATTGCTCAGTACCTTATAAATATTACATATCCCCTCTGATTTGGGAGTGACTACATTTGCATAGGTTTCTTACCTTCTCTATATCCAAGACTTTATCCTGCATCTCTTTTAGTGCACACTGAGACTCAGCTTCACTCAGTCGGGCTTGAACTAATTCCTTCTCTAGCTGTAGCACAAAATCTTCATTGTAGTTGGAACTGCATTTATGCTAAAGGTTATAGACATATTCTGAAATTTCATGGAAGTATAAACATGCATATATAGTACAAACAATGCAACTACATAATACAGTTATATTATATTAAGGGCAACTAAATAGGTGAAGTTCCATCTACCCAATATTTCCAGCATATCTCCTCCAATCCAATTAACTTTTCAATGAGTAAAAAGGCCCAACTTTGATATCTATAAAGATGACCAGATTATTGGGTTTTGGTAACTAGTTATTACAATGATCAAATATGATTCATATAAGATAAACATCTCTTTTTATCTGTCCATCCATCCAGATCCTAAGAATTTGTTCTGACTTTACAGACCTGTATCACACAACAAACAAGATAGCAATTAGCCACATGTGGCTACTGAACACTTGAAATGTGGCTAATCCAGATTAAAACAAGTTGTAAGTATAAAATACAAACTGGATTTTGAAGACTTGATGTGAAATACAAGAATAAAACATCTCAATGATTTTTATATTGATTACATGTTAAAACTGTATTTTGAATGTACTGAGGTAAATAAAAATATTCATTTTACCTTTTTTATTCCTTTTAATGTGGCTATTAGAAAATTTTAAATTGCATATGTGACACATATTGCTATATTGCTACTATTCTGTAGTTCTGTTATATACTACAGAAGACATGTAAACATTACTGAAAATTCTATTTTAATCTAATGGAAAAAAAAAAAAAGTGTACTGGCCAGGCACGGTGGCTCATGCCTGTAATCCCAGCACTTTGGGAGGCCAAGGCGGGTGGATCACCTGAAGTCAGGAGTTCCAGACCAGCCTGGCCAACATGGTGAAACCCTGTCTCTACTAAAAATACAAAAATCAGCTGGGCGTGGTGGTGCATGCCTGTAGTCCCAGCTACTCAGGGGGCTGAGACAGGAGAATCACTTGAACCCAGGAGGCAGAAGTTACAGTGAGCCAAGATCGCACCACTGCACTCCAGCCTGGGCGACAAGAGCAAGACTCCACCTCAAAAAAAAGACAACAAAAAAACAGGGTACCCACAATAACATGAACCATCTAAATCCCAAAATAACAAAATTGTATTTGGCCTTGGAAATGTAGAAATATTCTTTAAGGCCGGGTGCGGTGGCTCACGCCTGTAATCCCAGCACTTTGGGAGGCCGAGGCGGGTGGATCACAAGGTCAAGAGATCGAGACCATCCTGGTCAACATGGTGAAACCCCGTCTCTACTAAAAATACAAAAAATTAGCTGGGCATGGTGGCGCGTGCCTGTAATCCCAGCTACTCAGGAGGCTGAGGCAGGAGAATTGCCTGAACCCAGGAGGCGGAGGTTGCGGTGAGCTGAGATCGCGCAATTGCACTCCAGCCTGGGTGACAAGAGCGAAACTCCGTCTCCAAAAAAAAAAAAAAAAAAGAAATCTTCTTTAAAAGATATGCAGTTTCCCAGCACTTTGGGAGGCTGAGACGGGCGGATCACTTGAGGCCAGGAGTTCAAGACCAGCCTGGCCAACATGGTGAAACCCTGTCTCTACTAAAAATACAAAAATTAGCTGGGCGTGGTGGCGCATGCCTGTAGTCCCCACTACTAGGGAGGGTGAGGCAGGGGAATCGCTTGAGCCCGAAGGTGGAGGTTTCAGTCAGCTGAGATCATCATGCTACTGTATTCAAAAGACTCTGCCTCAAAAATTAAAAAACAAAAACAAAACGACACACATGCATGGAAATAATTGCTGGAGGCAGCGAAGCAGCAGATGCTGCACAAAGAAATTAACCATGGAAGTATGCAACCTTCCCATTTCCTTTTGATGCTAACACTTAAGTCGTCATTTTTAAGCCAGTACCCATACAAAAGCTTCTGTACAAAAGCAATACATAATTCATAATAATAGAAGACTTTCTAAAATAAACCATCTATCACTTCACATTTAATTCATGTAGTAAAGAAAATGTGGCAACTCAAAATTTCAAAATAAAGTCATTAAAAAAATCTACTGAACTAGCATGAATAAAGCACGGTTATTTTTACTCTTTAATATGTTAGGAACAAAATAATAGATGTCAAATTAAAACTATTAAAAATTACTAGATGCTTAATTAAAATACATGGTACTCTCCTGTCCCAGTTTACCAAAAAAGATGTGCAAATGAGGACTTTAATTCAATGCATTATACATTATTTCTTCTAGTAATTTTGATACGATTGAAACAATATTTCAATACAAGAAGTACATCTGCAACAGAGACATCATCTTAGCAAATACTTACCTTATATCAATTAAGACCTTTGGAATAACCACATCCAAACTGGACATGCAGTAATTTATTTAATCAGATCATGGTTATTTCATTGGTACTGGTAGAATGTTTTGCCCTCAACTTAAAGTCCTGGCAACTGTAGTGCAGGTTTGCATGCTAACACTTTATATTAGGAGATCCCCAAGAAAACACTGAACTCAAAAGGCCCATATGAGAATGGAATTCTTGATAAACCAACTAATCAAATGAAGTACAAAAAACTATGGTAATGTTGGGAACAAATCTTTATTAATAAAATTTACAGAGAGCTGAAATGCTCTGATAACAAGTCATTCTCAATAATATACATCTTACACTTCTTATACGCTAAAAAATATTATTGTAGTGTTCTGGATTAAAATAATTCTAAATATATTATGTAATTTTTTGCCACTGACAGAATTGACAGAACATAATTCTTAATTCTCAGGTCATCATCATGATGACCAATTAACACACTGCAAATTATACAGGGTCTAAGGAATACAGAGTATTTCTGGTGGTATAACAGATAAAACATGAATCTGTACCCTTTTTAGGTTTTTTACGCCTGGTTTAATTTTCTCACCAGCTTTCCCTCTGTTGTCATTTTCTGTAACTTTTTATCCTAGTTTTATCTTGGTTCTCTCATCTTGATGCTTATTCTTGCCTGTATGATCAGTCACCTGTGACTCTCTTATCCTTTGAGTCACAGACTCTTTGGGAATCGTATAAGGGCCATAGGACTCTCTTTTCCAAAAAAAAAAAAAAAAAAAATTATATTCACAATATTTAGATACAATTTCAGACTTCTCTAAAGCTTCCATATACTCCACTTAAGAATCTCTGCTCCTACAAGGTACTCTAATTCCCTGGCTATTTTTATGATCACTAATTCAATGTAAAAGACTATACTGGATCTCTAATACCAAGTATAACCATTCTCAGAAGTTCTAGTTTCTGACTCGCGGTCATTTCCACACAAATGTTCTATATTCAAAATCAAACTTAATCAAAAGGTTGATTGTCATCTTCCCCAAATCACTGCTTTTCCTTGATTTCTCTATTTGCCACTGACCTAAAATCTGTCACACGGCCACCTAGTGTTGCTGCCTGTCATGGAACAATAATATTTTTGTTTGTTTGTTTGTTTGTTTTGGCTATAGAATCTTGCCCTTGTCATTTTTTTCATTTCCCACCATTACTCTAGTATCTAATGTCTGCATTTCCATTTTGACCCATTGTGTATGCTGGCACCAGAGTGCCCCAAATCACCACTTTAGGTCATGTAATTCCTTAAATCAAAAACATATAATTGTCCTTTATTCAGCTCTTACCTTCAATGGACAGTCTAGGACATCAAACACACTGGTCACTCTTACCTAAAACTCCTCCCCTTAGATTTTCAGGCATTACTCTTTTGTTGATCTCCTGTCTATTTTCTGTCTTCTCTGTGAATTCAACTTCATATAACTGTGTATTTGTATTATATGTGTGTATATCAATCAGTAGTCCCAAGGGTTTCATCACTGTGTTGTCTCTCAATTTTTCCTTTTTTTCTTATTTTATAATTATCCCTATATTATTTCATGTACTGTCTGTAGACTATGTGTGTATAGGAAGTATCAGATACTGTCTAGATGTATATATTGCCTACATAGAAAATGAATAAAATCACCAAGGAACAATTTATAAAACAGTAAAAAGGGGAAGGTAGAATGAAACAGAGACAGGGAGACAGGGGGCATGTAATGATAGAAACTTGCAGGGGGGGAAAGAGGAAGAAAAAGGAGGGGAGAGTAGAGGAGGGGAGGGGAGGAGGGAAGGAGAAAAAGGGGAGAAGATGGAGGAGAAGCAGCAGAAGGAGGAGGAGGAGAAGGAGAAAGAAGAGGAGGAGAAAGGAGGAAGAGGAGAAGGAAGAGAAAGGAGGAAGAGGAGTAGGAAGAGAAAGGGGAGGAAGAAGAGAAAGAGGAGGAGGAGGAGGAGAAGAGAGGAGGGGATGGGAGGGGAGAGGATCCAAGTATGCATTTGTGATGACTCTCAAATCCGTATTTCCAGCCAAAACCTTTCTACTAAGCTACAGATCCACATTTACAACTCCTACTGGTCAATTCCAACTGGCTGGTTTCATATTCATCTCATATTCTACATGTCAAAACTGAACTCTCCATCTTTTCTTCCTCATGTATTTACTATTCTGTTAAGGACACCACAATCTCACAAGAGATCAAGTCAAAACTCTCTTCTATTCAACCTGTACCACCCAATCACAATATCTCAGTAATTTTTCTTCCAGTTATTTTGTTAACTTGCTCCTCTCCATCTTCATTGCCATTATTTTTATTCCTGCCCTCATCTCTTTCTTTGGATTACTGCAGTAGTCTCATATATGCTCCCTCCTAACCACTGCAGCACTTACTGTGGGTATTATTATTTAATATTTTATGCTACCTCTCAGACTAGATTGTAATGAATAGAAGGCATTTTTACAATTCCACCAACTGGATCAGGTAGGTGTTTTCTGGTGCTACTGTTTTGAGCCTCAGAAGTTTTGATTCTATGATTATTAATGTGAACATGTTAATGAAAAGTATATACTTTAATATTCACAATGAATCTAATTCCATGAAGCCAACTTCATTCCATTAACAATTTTTCTATATACCAATTAGCCCTGTCCAATTCTATCCACATTGACTTTTATTGGTATTTTCATTAGGATCAATTCTTA